TAAATGCCAGAAATGAAGTAAAGTTATGGGTGGAATAGTGAAATAGAATGAATGCTAAAGAAAATGAGGGTTTTTTTTTTAATACAGATAGACAAATAGTTGTCCAAAAGTGGCAAAGGGGAGATGAGAATATGAGGGTACTGCCATCAGAACCTAAGACTTATGAAGTATGAAAGAATTGAACCAACTCTGTTTGAAAAAGCTACCAGAAAAGCTGAATCTTTGGGGAGATAGTTAGGGAGGACTCATAAGTCTCAGGAAAAGCATAGAAAGAGAGGAAGAATTTTATAACGAGGCTGAGGACAGAGAGAGTTAATAGGTAATGTAGGAGGAGCTTGAGAAGGGACAATGGAAAGAAGAGTCCAGAATAAAAAGCACTCAATAACATGAGGCTCTGACAATAGATATATGAGGGGACTATTTATGGAGACTTATAGAGATGAAAGGCCCAGATGGTTGTCTTTTTCTGACGGTATGTGCTGGCCATTCCTAATGAGACCCTAGATAATGTAGGGTAGTGGTCCCCAACCTTTTTGGCACCAGGGACCAGTGCTCCTATGAGAATCTAATGCCTGATGATATGAGGTGGAGCTGAGATAGTGATGCTAGCACTGGGGAGTGGCTGCAAATACAGATGAAGCTTTGCTTGCTGGCCCGCTGCTCACCTCCTGCTGTGTGGTCTGGTTCCTAATAGGCCACGGACTGGTACCAGTTCGTGGTCCAGGGATTGGTGATCCCTGCTGTAGGGAACTAATAACATAAATCCAATCACTGCTGTCACTGGTCAGTGTGTTCAAAGAGATTACTGTGAGACTACTCTTCTCTCATACACCAAGGAAAACCTTTCAGTAAGGTTGCTATCCACACTTTGTACCTAAAACCTGGTAAGATAACCTGGATCATTTTTAAGGTAAGAATTGTAGAAAGTGAAGTAGGGCTCCTAAGATACTGATTTTACCTTTGAATAGGGCAAGTACATATAGAATCCTAGATGTATGTTAGCTGCGAAAGAAACTGAGTAGCTGAATGTTTTCTTGTGTTGTGTTGTCAACCACATGGCAGACAGACACTCTATCTAAAAGATATATCAAGCTATATAGCTGGAGATTTATAAAGAGGAAAAAAAGAACCCAATATGTATTACACCTTTACAATAAGAATGTCCTCTGTCAAGAGAGCCAATTCTGCCCCATTTGATATTTGTAATGTTACTTTGATAAGAATTCTGAAGGTATATTCTAAGACTTAAATAAATATCAAAGTCATAGAAGCAATCTAGCCTATAAATGACCCCCATCTGTGAAGTCAAAGACTAAGGACATTTTATTGCATGCTTGAAAAGTGTTAAATTGCTCTTGACAATTTTTGTGGTTAGGTAAAACAAAGATCAAATAGTTAAGGATTCATTAAGGCCAAGTGATTTCATAGGTGGTTTATTAGATTGAGAGACTCCTGAATCCAGTTTATCAGGAAAGAATGTGGAAGCATTTTGAAACAACTCGGTTAATTTATGGATATCTGCCATACAACTCAATTTGGGATCTGGCCTTTTAGAAATAGGATGGAATATACATTGCTTCTGGGAACAATATTGCAGAAAATTATACATATGGTAAGCAATTCTGCAGATATTAGGGGAAGACTGGGAATTCTGAACCAAATTATCTTAGAGCATTCTTCGGTTTTAGAAAGTTAATTAGCTATCTTATCTGGAATCATTAGACTCCAATGAACAGAATTCTAGAATTATAATGTTTTAAAAAGTTTTGAGGGGGAATTTGTGACCAGATCTTTCCTCTCACTGAAGAACAACACAATGTTCTGAGCTGGACAAATATAAAACACAGTGCCTTCCACTTATGTATTTTGTAGTCTAGTTTTTGATAAAAATAAAATTAAAGTGTTACTTTTAAAACTTACTTTAATTTTTTTTCAGTTGACTCTTGTAAGTTCCACTTAATAGCGTATTGCTAGTGACCAGAACAACCTGTCTTTCTGCTACCCACACCCTGAGCACTCAAATAAGGTTTCAAGTCAGATTACTAGAAAGATAGAAAATAATGAAGATTTTTTTTTGTAGTTCCCTGGTTTTAAACACAGAAGGAAAAGCTTCACACTCTTAAGATCATAAGAGGTTACTTCTGCTATTGTTAAACACCTGCAACATTCTCATTCATTCATTTAACAGGAATTTACTGAGCATCATCGATGTTGTTAGTTTTGTATATAGTCAAGTTTGCAAGAAGTAGTATTAGGATAATTGATTCAGACAGAAATTGATCACCCAAGGATATTCACCTCATAGATGGAAAAAAAAAAAAAAACGTAAAAATATAATCAATGATATTGTCTGCTTGACCAGGAGGCTGAGTAAAGTTGCACTTAGATTTATGCTACAAGCTTCCCTCAGACAATAAGAAGTTGTGGCTATGCATAAATTAGATCAAATGTTTACTTCTTTGGTTTAATATGACTATCTACAGATGTATATGCTCGCTAAGAAAATAGTCTTCTCGATACAAATCTTCTGTGAGCAAGGTTTTAACAGAGCCATTAATAATAACAGCAACCTGCCAGACTTAAATGGATAAAAGAAATCAAGTGACAATCAGGTTGGGCCCAGGCACTGCACACATTTGTGTCTGTATGTGCCCAAATTAACAGTACATATGTTATGCTGTTCTTTTGTCAAGTAGGTAATTCAGGATGGAGATGTATGAATCTGAAATTTTAAATTAGCCTCTGATATAAACCAGTGTCAAAATTTCCAACTTGCTTCTGCATTTTCCAGAGTTAGATTTTGGGATCGCTCCAAAAAGTGAAATCACTTTTGAACACAGAATGTTAAAGGCCAAAAGGGTAGACTATTTATAAAATTAATTATGTGCCCTTTTACTGAGCACTCTCTAAATAGAACTAGTATATAAATCTTGCACTAGCATTGTATAGTAACATTGTGAGGTTGGGAATGGAAATAGGGTAGGGGACAGATTTAATTCTGGGGATTATCCTGTTAAAATAGGAATTCAGTAATTATATAGAAGCGGGAAAAAAAGGAAAGGAAAAATGTGTTTCTAATATATTATAAAAGGCCTTATATCCCTATTAACTTTCTTTATGAAAATAGTGATTATGTTTCTCTAGAAAACATTTCAGAAATAATAGGGTTTTCTTAAAGGAATTGGTGTATAACTATTACCAATGTTATCTTAATTCACTAAAATCTCTTGGGATTTCACCCAAAAATATAATTCCACAAAAGTAATGTAGAAAATCCATGAACATCAGCTTCACTAAGAATGGCTCTAGTTGTCTGTAACATCCCAAATCCCATGCTACAGTCTGATAATTGAATGATGATTGCTGCCTGTATACTTATAATTTCTAGACTTTGGCAAAGAGTTTTAGATAGTTATTATTTACTTCAAAGAATTAGGTCAAAAGGTAATTTCTTGTTTGATCCAGAAGTTTATTGTAACTTTACCTTATTTTCCAACAATGCAACACTTACTCGAAAGATACATTGAACTATTTTTTCAGGAAATACTAAGGTATATAGACTTCTGTTAGTAAACAAAAAAATTTTAAATCCATGGTGATTTTTTCCTACTTCAGTAGTAGAAAGCTTTTTTATTATTTTTACTCTATTAATTTAACAAGAAATTATTAATGCAAATATTGGTACAATTTCTATTTACAAATTTAATGACCTAGAAATATAGCAGGGAATAACATCAAAAAGATTTTTCTGTGTGTTTGCCAAATACAAAACCAATTAAAAAATAATTCAGAAGAAAATGAAATTATTATTACCTTAAATTGTGTGTATGGATGTCTGAATATCAAAATACATGAGCTGTTGCCTTTAAATCTAGGATCTCAAACTTACTTTTAAAAAGAATTCAGAATAGTATTACACTTCCACAAAGAAAGATTTTTTTGCTCACTCTAATCATTATGTCAAAAGGAAGATTGTTCAAAGCAAGAATTAATGGCTAATAGAAATGTATCAAAGTGAAAAACATTTAATTGAAGACAGATTTGGTGATTTTATAACAATTAAATCCCAGCAGTCCTGTAATTTTACCTCTATATACCTCAGTATGTATCGCTTAAGAATTATAGAAGTTTCCTTAAAGATGTGATTTTCTAAATTAAAATAGAAATTTTGTAGGGATTTTTTTCTATTTCTCCAATAATTTCTCAATATATGTTGTCTTCCTTTCTTCTAAAATAGAATTCTTTTGGTGAATTATACAAAATATGATTCTAAGTTTTCAAGGTGTGTCTTTCCATATTTAGCCATATTTATTAATTTCATGAAGATATTAATAAGAAAAGTTCACAAGAAAGAAAAGTTTGTACCATACATATTATACAGGTTGAAATAATTTTAGTTTTTAAAAAGAGTTGCACTTTTTTAATTAAATCCAAGGAATTGTTACCTCAAAGTCCACTATTCATGTTCAATATACACAATTAAAGAAGTACCTCTATTTATACACCTAAAAGATAATTGTGATTAATTCTTAATCTCACTTTACATTTTGCAATTAATTTTCTTTTGTTAATGGATTTCAGCCCTTAGCTTATTTTTTTGGTCCTTCAATAAGTCCATTTACTTAAGGGACGGGAAGCAGAGAAGAAATGGGGCCCATCGGCCCCTTTTAAAGCAGCTTTGCTAAAATGTCCAGAAGAACAGTAAATGAAAACTACTGGCAAAACCAGTGTTCTTTAAAACATGGTCCATATATTTAATATATTCATTTTATTTCTGTCCCTTTGTGGAGAACCCACAGTTGGTTGTAATACTCATAAAGCAGAGTGCCAGGTCTCAGTGTAAAGACAAAGAAATATAATCTGTTTCTATTTGTAAAAGTTCTCATATTTTTGTTAAATCGATACTTACACCACATAATGTCAATGCCTACTGACACTAGTAGTATTCTTGACTTTTTTTAAAAGTGAGTATAAGAATTGATTTTATATTTGGTCAACAGATTTTCCACATGACGTATGATCTCGCCAGTGCGGTGGTGAGAATTTTTAATCTCATTGGCATGATGCTGCTTCTGTGCCACTGGGACGGCTGCCTCCAGTTCTTAGTACCACTTCTGCAGGATTTCCCACCAGATTGCTGGGTGTCTCTAAATGAAATGGTGGTAAGTAGTTCGTATTATTTTATACTCTGCGTTTTCAGTGTTTTGCCAAAAAGTTTTAAGTGTTTATGTTACAATGATGTAATTTTTCCTCCATAGATGTTTACAGAAAACTTAATTTTGCTTCCATCGTTATAAAATCAGATGTCTTTTTATGTTATGTTTTAACAGATGTTATGTTTCTCTTCTACAATGAAATTTAATTTATATGAAATGTTCCTGTGGAGGTATATGTTATAACATCTTTTTAGATATCTTACGCTGTGTATATTCAGACATACTTTATTTCAAAGGTACATGTACAAACATGCACACATATAATTATAATACAATGATTTTTTAAAAAATGCCTACTGCTTAGAATAACTTCTTTCTTTCAACTTGATCTTAGCATTTACTTAGCATTTCAAGACATGCAATTCCAGGCATTGTTAAACATACAGAGACATGTACACCAATATAAACGCAATGAGATATATATAACATGCAATGATATTTCAGATAGTACTTCTTTTTAAGGAAAACTTTAAGAAAAAGTTATCCTTTAAACTTTTCTCTAAAAGATATGTAAATATAAAAAACTGTGAAATGTAAATTTGATTTACATACTTAAATATATCCATGTTCACATTAAATTTAAGAGCATATGTTTTGAGCTACATAGTGCAACACTCGCTAAGGAATTGAAACAATAGTGAATATCATACATATGTATATATATTCACATATATTTGTTCTTTTTATGTAAGTTCTAATATTTTCTTCTTGCATTGCGTTTTCTTTCTTTTTAAAAAATTAAATTTATTGGGATAACATTGGTTAATAATATTATGTAAGTTTCAGGTGTACAATTTTATAATACATCATCTGTGTGCTCAACACTCAATGTCTAATCTTCCCTAACCATATATTTGACCACCTTTGTCCTCTTCACTTTTCTCCTCACTGCTCTTACCCTCTGGTAACCACCATTCTGTAGTCTGTATCCATGAGTTTGGTTTTTGTTTATTTGTTTGTTTTGTTCATTCATTTGTTGCTTTTTGTTTTATATCTCACATATGAGTGAAATCATATGGTTCTTATCCTTTTCCATCTCACCTATTTCATTTAGTATGATACATGTTGTTGCAAATGGTAATGTTTCATCTTTTTTTGTGGCTGAGTAGTATTTTATTATGTATATGTACCACATCTTCTTTATCCAATCATCAGTCAAAGAACACCTACATTTAATAAAATGTTTAAGTTAACTATGCATTGGAATATCCTTTTCTTATGTATGACAACTTATGGGAAATAAATTTTATGAAACTTTCACAAAAATCTAACTTTGGCATAAATCCAAACCCTCTTTTTTCCCAAACTATTCCGTTATTAATATCTTGGGTTATTATTATAAAAATGACACAGACGTCTTAAGAATATACATTTCTTTCCTCTTAATAACTATAGCTTAGGCTTTATATTTGAAGGAAATTGGGGTTTACATTACATGTTAAGAAATATGGTCTTTTTTTCTATCTCTCTTCCGTCCCACCAATTTCCTCACCTCTTCTTTCCTCTCTTCCTCTCTCTCATTTTTCTTTATTCCTTTCACTCCTTTCTCTGAGAACTGGTATTCGCCCAGATCTCTCTTTCATTTTTCATTCCTGTTTTTTTTGAGAAATGTCACTGCCTCACAGTGTTTTCTGGCCACCCTGTATAATAAATCACTGACCTGGTTTATATTTTATCCTTAAAAAATTTAGCAGTACGGTGTTCATGCATAGATGCAGATACACACACACACACACACACACACATACACTCGCACGTGCGTGTGCGCGCGCGCGCGCATACACTTTTGGTGTTTATATTTTTTTCTCTCATGCCAAAACGTAAGTTCCATTAGGTTAAAAAATTTGTCTGTTGTTTTTGTACTTTATTTCCAATGACTAGAACAGTGAGACCATAATTTGTTGTAATTTAGTCACTCATCATCGGAAGTTTATTTGAGAAAAGTTTCTATATGGAAGTTTCTGTATCTAAAAAACAAAGCAAGGAGTTTGATTAGCTCACTTTTCAAATTTATGATGTGTCTTTGATTATTGATCTGTCACTTTTATTTTATCACTGAAGAAGCGAAATATAAAAATGGTATTAGAATATTTTAGGGGAGAGGAAGAAAAAGCAACATCTCTGTAAGACTGAGTGAATAACATAAAAACATGAAAACCGCTGCCAAAAGATGATTTATCATTGGTACTAACTTATATTTAAGTTTGCAACTACTTATTATTTAAAATTTTCCCTAGGTATCTTAAAAATAGCAATTGTCTTTACTGAGAGAGTAAAAGGACTATTTTTGGGTATCTATGAAGTGCATATAATTATATAATTATAATGTAGGGCAGTATCCTACTTAATATATCTAGTGATAAACATACTTAATGAAGAAAAATTTCAATGTCTTGATCATTTTTTTAAAATGTGCCTGCAGGTGCTTATTTGTACATGTGTTTATCTTTAAGCTAACGTCATCAAACCTTTATTATAACCTGATATTATACAAAATACCTTTCCTGAATTTACAATTTGCTTCTTGGGTCTTTTTATTTTTGACTTCAGGTTTACTTATGAAATTGGCTCTTATTTTAACATTATTTCCATGGTTAACTCTAACATAGAGAACTAGAAACAGTTAAGTCTATATTCAATTACAAAGACCAAAAAATATTTAAAATTGTGAATATTAGCGATACACAGGAGATAGAAAACCATGAACAAGACATGTTTGTATCAATAAAGAATCTTAATGATGTCATATTGGAGATATTATTGTCTGTCCTAAAGCTACTGAGTTCTAGAAAACTTTCTATCATATCAAAACAAAGAGTATTTACACACAAAGAGAATTATAAAGAAGTGAAAATCTCATATAAGAAAAAATAACCCTACATTTATATATCATGCTTATTATATACGAGCCCTGTGCTTTGAAATATGCTATATTATTGATCCTCACAGCAACAGGAAGAGGTTAGCACTATTACCTTCATTTTGCAGTTCAGAAAAGTGCAAATTTTAGAGATTAAACTCACTGTCCATTGTCATACAGGTAGCATGGATTAAAGTACCAAGACTAGAATAAATAGCTGTTTGACTCCATAATTTCTGTGTTCTAAACCATATTAGACTATCTTGCATTGCATAGACTGTAAAAAACAGTTAAAAAGAAGTAATTACAAAAGATGAAGTCTGTAGTCACAGCACACCTGTTGCAGTAGACAGTCACTAGAATATCAGCATTTGAACTCTAACACTAAAAAGTGACAAGACTGATATGAGATGTAGATGTGGACAAACAAAAGCAAATTAGGAAGACAAAATTTGAGAAGCCAGACAAGGATGGATGTAGGACACACTAGTCATCCTTGGTTATGGGATTAAAAATTATGCAATGTCAACTTAACATTGATATTAAATTATTTTTTATAAAAATTAGGATGTTTAGTGAATTCCTCATGCCTTCCTTCTTTTTCCTATCTTGCATTTTAAGTGATTTATATCTTTGAATATTATTTTCAATTTTCCTTAACCATATTTGCATTTATATCCATATCATTTTCTCTCTATATATTAAATCCTCCTTGACTACATTTGTGTTTATATGTATATCTTTATCTACATATATTTTTAAATCCTCTTAACTACATTTGTATTTATTCTTATATCCTTATCTATACCTATATATCACTAACTAGTTATCAATACATTATCACTAACTACTTATGATGAGAAATTCAGACTTAATGCTATAACTATACTTTAACAGGTAATTTGTCCAATATATTTATTAGTATACTAACTGTTTCTAATCTGCATTTGATTCCATAAAAGTAGGTTCAATTCCTTTCGGTTATTTCCTTTGCAATCTTTATAAATTCCTCATTAAAAGATAATTATTTAAATGTTATGTTTAAAAACTTAATACTAACCATGATGGGTTACTTGAATTGATGAGGGAGGAGATACTGACTTTTAAAATGCAACTTGAACAGGGATTAATCTTATTCTGCATTTGTAATATTTGCTTTTGTTTTATTCAAGAAATGTTTGAATTATAGAATTCTGTCTGAATGAAAATCTTGGATTAGTCAGATAATTAATGTCTAATAAAATTAATTTTGAAAATCTTGTCATTCCCATGATATTATGTGACTGTGATTTAGGTATATCACATTGAAATTGTCTTAGTTCATTATTAAAGGGATAAGATATAATGGTTTTGGTTTAAATTATGAATATTATGAAAAATTGATTTTAAGAACGTAACTAAGAAAATGAAACAAGGACGCATTTGAACTTGCATATTAATTTTGATGTAATTTAGGGAATGACTTTACGGAATAGTTAGAATTTGTAACTAAATATCATACATTCCTAGAGTCATGTTTCTCTAATTGAAGTTTGCAAGTTTATTTTCAGGGAGCCCACAAATTTTCTTTCAGCAATCCTATAAAATTTGACAATAGTATGAAAGCATATTTTGAATCTAGGGTCATTTGAATGACCTAAATTTGAAGTCTGGATTTGCTTTTGTAGTTGAAATGTGTTGTGTCATGAGGTGTTATTTTAAATAATTCTGGCTTATGGGTTAATAAATAAATGATCCATTTATACCAAATGAAAGCAAAATGGTATCATATTAAATGTGGTATAAAATTTTCGCCATAGTCAAAAGGAGAAATGGGTTGGAAAACTTAATCACTTGTTACATAGCACACAATTGTACAGTATTGTGTTAAACTACATACTCTATAATAACTAGTACAATGATAGCACTATATTTGCATTGTGTGCAACTATTTATTTTAGCAAAACGTCATCCATCAAAATAAATTGGCATTAAGATATGTTTATTATTTTGTTAGTATTTGATTTGTAAATTTTTGTTTGTTTTAATGTTATGAGGCCTATAAGTATAAGAAACTTATTTCTAGTGCTGTACTTTTATTTATTTG